TTTATTTAAATATAATTTTTTTTAAATAAATAAATTTTTTTATTTAATTTAAAAAAATAATGTTTAAATCAAAGAAATAACATTTAATCAAAGAAATTTTTTCTTTAACCATATAGCAAAGAAACATTTTTTTTGAATCGAAGAAAATCTTTCTCTGGGAAACTCTCTATGCGAGAGTCTTATCATTAATTATTAGACTCTGTATATATATTATTTTAGATAGTATTTTTCATAACTTCATTCTTACATAAATATTTGTACTGAATTTATTTCTTCCCAACACTTTTATGATGCATATAAGCGGTTTCTATAATCTTAAGAATTTTATTGGAAGTAATTATTTCTTTTAGTTTAGAAATTCTAATTTAAGATAATATATATATATATATATTTAAAATAATTTTTGTTTACAGAAGATGTGCTAAAATGCTACATGTGCACCTCATTAACAAGCGAGGATTGTGATTCCGATATGAAAACAAATTCATTACAACCATTGGAATGTACTGGTAATAATATGATGGAATGGCAACGAAGCATTAAACAGCACAATGTCCTCAAGCCGTTGGCACGGCTTTTCGAAATTGATGACACGTTACTATATTATCAAAGTCTTTCCAAGAATACAGCTTGCGTTAAAATGTTCATTAAGAGTAAGTAATTACAAATGTTTGCAAAATGTAAAGTTACATAATATAATCTTAATGTCAAATATACCTATTTAGAATAGTTCAGGCAAATATATAATCTATATCTTTTTAGTTGAAAAACAAGACATTATTGTAAGAACATGCCAAACAGCTAAAACAGAACTTATTGATCCATGTAAAACAATGGAAAACAAACTAAAAGTCAACATGTTAGGCACAATAGAACAATGCGCACTTTGTCTTAAAGATGCCTGTAATGGTACGATGTCCCTATCTTCCAAAATATTCTATACTTTTCTGTCACTTTTTAGCACTCTTATTGCTTTTTATCATTTATAGATGTAATTTTCATTTTATACGCGATAAAAAGACTTAATGTGTAATGAATAATAATCATTCGACATCATATATTCGTTTCTAATTCTAGCTTAACTATAAAAATTAGACTAATTAGTATATATAAATTAGTATATATATTTCATGTATAATTATAAAGATATAGATGAGACTTTTTAATCAGATACTGACTATAAAGATTTCGTCAAATTCGAAGGAATTTGAGGAATTTGAAGAAATTCTTATGAGTTAGCCTCTGATTAAAGAGTCTCTATAAAAATAATGACTAGCAGTGTGAATTTGTCGCCTTTTAATTATCTTCTCGTCGATCATAATATTCTTTTACTAAAAGATATCTTTATATAATAATTTAATCATCTTTAGTAATTTTTTAAATAATTTTGTGCTCTTCGGAATATGTTAAAAACTTGTTTGTTTCTAATAATCTATTGGTTTAAAACTGTTTTAAGTTATTAATTTACAAAGTTACGGCATTTGAAGAGTTACTCAAAAAATTCTTTATATTTTGTTAATATAAACATATTAAAAGTATTATAACATCGGAATAAATGTTTCGATATTAATAAAAATATTTTAAGAAGGTAAAAAATACTAAATTATTTTTAATAAAAGATTTTAATAATGTTAAATGTGATACTTCATTTTGCTATAATATATTTTTGTAATAATTGCTAGATTTACAGTGTTAAGATAAAGAATTTTTAATAAAAGAAATTGTGTTCAAATATTTAAAAGGTACGATAGTCAGCCCATGTAATAATGTATGTTAAAAATAAAAAAATATTTCAAACAGTCTTTATCATGTATTTTTCTATTTTTTCCTCCAATTATTAGTTATCGAAGTTTGAATTTTAGCGAGAGTTGACCAAACTGATGAACCAATCAAAAGTTTAACTTGTGGCTAAACTTTGAGGCGTTTTTTCGTTATCCAGAAGCTACCACACTAAGACTATCTTCGTCTTCAGGAATTAGAAGACGAAGATAGCTTTAGCCGTAGTTGCTTTTGGTTGTACAACGAAAAAATGTCACTGATGAGTGCTTTCCATTTGATGACACAAATCGATACGAGCGTCATTCTATTCTTGTTGACATTCAGAGAGTGACAAAGATAGAACGATACTGTGTCATCAATGGAAAGCACCCGATATAGGGTCTCTAGTTTTAATAGTGAAGTCGGAACAATACAACTACACTCAGTGCAATTTAAAGTGCGCGCCAGCAGGTTTGTTCTTTTTAGCTAAAATTCTTGCATCGTTCTTTCTTCCTTTTTTTTCACGTTGAAGAGGAAAAAGAGAAAAGTTAACTATGCAAGTTCAACTAAAAAGACAGGCCTAGTGTTGCACCAGACAGAGAGGTTGTTTCTCAGTAGAAAATGCGATAAAATAATTGAGTTCACGTGGTTCACATCGTCCATTCCTAGAGCGAAGTTTTTTTTCTGTCAAATTCGATCATTTTGTGCAGAAATTCGTTAAATGTTTAATTATCATATCGGAGGTGAAGTAATTCAATTCTATAATTACTAACAATATCAATTATTTATTTTGATCCTGTATTTATGTGTAGAAATATGCAATCTGAATTTCTTTATTAGTTATTTAGTAAATAAATTAGTTATTTAGTAAATTTATTTATCTATTAAAAATAATGAATAACAAATAGATCTGTTCGCATTGCTTGCACTTTTTGCACTTAGCATTTTCGTTTTCTCTTTTTAACACCTCATTGTAAGTTTAAAAATTTTGAGGAAAGTTTAAGCAATGTGAATAGACCTATTTTTTTTATTGATTTTTCTTTATTTGTTTTAAGAATCATATTTAAATTATTTTTACTAATATTGAATTTTTATATAGGTTATCTTCAAAATGAATTAATGTAAATAATACATACAACATAATATAACTTTATGTATTCTTATATTACAAATAATATGGATGCAGATATATTAAGAGCGATATTAACAAGTTACACTGATGCTGAAAATTTTTTTCAATCTGAGGATTACAAGAATATGTCAAAGAAAACTTTTCTTTGTATACAATCTGATGCAGCATTAAATATTTTGTGTTCATCATTGAGCAATCTTTTGTGTTATAAAATATCCAAGGAAGCATATCAACGTTATTCAGTTCGATTGTTAATAATTGTATGTTGATTATTAAAATATAGATTAATATATTTCAATTTTTTAAGCTTTTTTATAATTGATATTTTAGTATTATATGATTGTGTTACAGGATGTTTTACGGAATTGGTGCAGAACAACGAACAATTTTAAACATTTAAAAATATTTACGTCTAAGGAAAATAATCTTAAATTCATAAATATTCTTTTAGAGAAGTATCTTACAGATGATGTTTTGAATGAGTGCTATTCAGAAAATACTTTGATATGTTTAACTGTTTCTGTAATGCATCTGTCAGTGAAGAATACAATTTTTATGCATCATGTGGATCGGTTGCTTTTAAGACTTTTACAATTTGAAGCAAATTCTAAAATTGAAAAATTATTATATAACGCTCTTTGTTCAAATTTACATCTTAAACTAACTACAAAAGAAGGAATATATGCTTTACAAAAATTTAAATTAATAGAAGAACCTTTGCTCAATAGTTTTATGTGCATGTTTCCTAATTTGAAAAAAGAGAGTGATGAAAATAATGAGGAGATGCTAAATAAATTATTAGAACTTAGTGCCAGATCTGCATATGTTTTTCAATTAATGTTTAATTTTTTGAAGGAATTACTAGTTCAACTGCAATATGCATCTGCAGTCTTAGATTTCATAGATTTGATGTTAAAGCGGATATCTATTTATTGTAAAAATTATGATAAAGATATATTAGATCTTTATCCCAGGAAATTGCGTTCTTGTATAATTTTATTAAGGATAAATCCCAAATATCATTCAGTGCAGACACGAAAATATACATTACAGACTATGAAACAAATCTATAATGAAAATAAAAATGTTCCATTAATTTTAATGTCCCATTTTCTTGAGTGGCTTGAATGTTTTGCGACTTATGTCACTAATGATATAAAATATTGATTAGAGAAAAATAATATAATAGTAATTATTTTAATATAATTCTGTGTAATATTAATGTAAAAATTACTTTATGTTTAATTGCAAGAATGTTTGTGTATGATGATTCTATATTTTTATATACTTTTTTAAGACATTATTTTTATAAAAGAATGTTTTATGAATTTTTACAGAAATATATTTTAAAGACAGATCTTTATGTATTGCATCACAAAACAAATACCGAAATGAACCGAATACTTTCACTGGCAAAAAAAATTAAATGATAAATATTTTATCTTGTGTCTATTAAATTCTAAAAATCGTTTATATTTCTCAAATTTTTATCTTAATTGAACTGTTGAATTGAAAATAAGTAACAATCATAAAAAAATGTATTATCGATTGCAAATATACATACATACAGAATAAATCATTAGAAATTATTATTTTGGATACCTCGAAAGAAAGCATTATTTTTATGATTTGTTTTTATGATTTTTTAAATATTTTTCGAATAATAGGTATACATTATTTTCCTTCAAAAATATCCAAAGTGATAATTTTTATTGACTATATAAAATATATGAATTTGATAAGTGTTCAGTATAGCTTCCTCCTTCGATTTTTCTGTAATTTTGTAAATTTATATATTTTTATACGTAAAATATATTCCAAGAAGAAAAATCGTTTTTTATTACTTTATTTTAAAATTTTTTGATGTCGGTAAATTGAAAAATGATAATTTAATAACAAAATGGCTGACCTGCTCAACAAGCAAATAAACATGATTGTTATAAATCCAAAAAATCACATTCAATCGCTTGACAAGGCTAGCAGCTTTTTTTGACTTGAACGCGCCTATTATTGTGCTTTACTGGTTTTAGCCTAATATTACATTTGTCGTATAACAAAACATTTCAAGTCTATTAATTGGCAAGAAAAAAAAGTTATTAGAGTAAAGTTATTCTCTCTAGCTCATAATCAATCAATGAACTTAAAATTTTTGTCGTATGATAAATATAATACCAGTCTAAAGGGTTGCGTTCAGCGGATTCAACAATTAAGTGTGCCTATTTAAGTGTACTATTTCAACCTATTAGAAATTATATATTCCACAATACACGATTTTTGATAGGTTGAAATTCTTTCTCTGTTCCCTGTTCCCTATTCCTTTCATTGTGCCCTAAGGATATTTCATTTGCGTTTTTGATGACAAATTTTTCAAACCTGTTGATTGGCTATGGGAAATATAGATAGAAAGATCCGGGTACAATAGATGAATCCAGAAGCACTGAGTGCTCAATGAGCTCTTGCATTTGATTGGCATATTCCATTAGATCGATAGATAAAAATATAGATCAAACAAGTACACGAGCTCAATGAGCGCTTAGTGAGCGGTCGTGCTTCTGGATGCACCTAATCATGAAATTTTATTCTTAGGATGGAAAGTAAGAAGTGAAAATTTTTATCATTGAAGTTAAAGAGTGTTTTCCAATTGCTTTACACATCTTAACACAAACGTACATAGGAATGTACAAAGTATAACATTATGTACAATTCAATTGGAACAGAATGTACGTCATGCACAGTTGAGATCCGTTTCGGATAGAGTTAGATTAAATGTAGCTTTTTCCGCCTGTATTAAACAAAAAAAAGTTAAAATGCCGGGCACTCAACGTCTTCCAACCTCATTTATAGCTGTAACATATAATTGTTACTAGAAAACACCAAGGGGTCGATTCTGTATTTTCAAATAAAGTGAAAATTACAAAAGTGAGCAAATTTACTAGGTGTTGACCAATGAAATTATCAGTATTCTAATAAATTCGCTCACTTTTGTAATTTTTACTTCATTTTAAGATACAGAATCGATTTCCAGCTTACACAGCCCTCGATTGAGTATAGATATGTAATATTGTGTTGATAACGGATAATTGGAACGCAACTTGTATCACCATGTGCACGAAAATGTCTACGGATATTGCAATTGGAAAACACCTATTGAAGAAATTTTTCATTTTTCATCCTAGGGATAAAATTTTATGATTGATATCCTGTACACATTATAAGACAAAAGTGACTGCCAATACTGAAAATCTATAATGCACGTGATGTAGATTGTAGCATTTTCAGTGCTGGCAGTAAATTTGAAACACGTCTCAAGCATCAATTTGATTATCTGACCTGTATTGACTCTCGAATCGAGCGTCAACATGAAAATGCAGCCTTATTTCGTTTCATGCATGATATATTATTTTATCCTTGTTTAATGAATATTAAAGAAAGATAAAATGATATATCATGAGCATCATACGTGAAATGGATCCATAAAAGACATTAGTATCACAGTATTTCGTGGTTGTGAAACAAATTTCCTAACCTAGTTGTCATCTTTAACAGTTAATATTGATTAATATTGTTCTCAAGTGGAAAAAGTGACGTTTTTTTTGTGTTTTTTTTTATGTGAAAACGCACCGATTTAAACTAATAATATTTTAGGTGTTCTTCTCAACCACTTCTTTGTATTCTTCTTTATTTTTAGATTCTATTTATGCAGTAGAGAAATTAAATGAAGTGATAAATGTATATAAAAATATAGTAAGTTTAATAAGGCAAGAAGTCCAGCTTTTGGCTATTGTATAAGATAACTAATAATAATAGACCTTTCTTAAAAATTCATCAATACTCAAACATAGTCAAATTATACTTTTATTATATAAAATATATAATATTTATTTTTTAACAAATTTATTTTTATATTATTTCTACATAGATAACATAATAATTTCACAGAAATCAAGTCAATGGAAGATACTGCTGATAAATCATCAGATGCAATCCAAGAAGAAACAGGTTTTTAGTGATTTTATTTATATAACTTATTTAATTTTTAAATTTTTTTAAAATAAATTTTTTTTTATAGCGTTTAAATGGCCACAAGAAGCTACTGTCTTATTAATAGAAGAATATCGATCGCGGCAAAATGATTTTATAAGTGGAAAGATGTCTCAAAAGAAGATATGGCTATTAATTGCCGCAAAAATGCTAAAACATGGTTACAAAGTTAGTGGAGCACAATGTTTATCAAAATTTTCTGGTTTGAAGAGAACATATAAAGCAGTCAAAGATTATAATAAAAGGTATGGCAGTGGATCAAGAACATGGACATTTTTTCCTGTAAGTTATTTTAAAATCAAAATGCTATAGTATTTTACATATAGTATTATACATATAGTATTTTTATACAAATATAAACTTTAAATTGAATGTTCTTTAAGCTTATGGATGATTTACTTGGTTTAAAACCATCTATGTCATCTATAACTACTGTATCATCGACTGGAAAAAGATCACGAATGGAATCTATATGTAGTTCATCTAGTTCAGATAAAGAAGAATATATACAACCTAGTAAGATAATTATATCTTTATATAATTAAAATGAATGATCCAATCAGTTATTTAGGTTTAGTTATTAACATTAATAACAAATAAAGGCTAGATTTCAATATATTTAAATTTTTTAACAGACGTTTCGACCTTATTATCAGATCATCTTCAGTATATATAAGATAGAAAATTAAACGCAGAAATCGATAAATTCATATAACAAATACAAATTCTACAATTATAATTACGTTAACATAATGATTATGTTTCTTTGTATATTTTATGTCGCAATATAATGTTCTCTCTTTTGTAATTTTTCTTAGTAAGCATTCTTAGTAAGCATTCAGCTGATACAATAGATGAATACTAATTACGAAAAATTATAAAAAAGAGCACATTATATTGTTGCGACACAAAATACACGACAATTATCATGTTAGTGTCACTACAATTGTAGAATTTGCATCTAACAGTTATATGAATTTATCAATTTTTGCGTTTATTTTCTGTATTGTATGCACTGAAGATGATCTGACGACAAAGTAGACGATAACGTCTATTTAAAAATTTAAACATTGAAATCTGGCTTGTAACCCCTATTGTTATCAATTTATTTATTATTATTGAGCTATTATAGTATCATTAGTCATTTATTGTTTATATTATTATATTGCATTAATATTTTATTAATTTTAATAAAATGTAAACAGTAAAAGTTTTCTTGAGTTTTAATTACAAATATTCTTAATACAAATATTATAATTATGTAATTTTTAATAAATTAATAATTTTGAATTCTAAGATTATAATAATTGAGATGTTTAGCTTGTAAAATTTATTAATGTAACTTTATATATATAATAATGTCTTTTTATTTAGAAAAAAGCCGACGAGCAACTACGATAGAAAAATTAATAGAAGATTTTAAGAATACTAGTAAAATCGCAGAAGAAGCTCAAGAGAGAAGACATAGAGAAAATATAGAGCTACGCCGGAGACTTCTTAATTCCTTTGACAAAATGTTAAATATTTTAGAAAAAAAATAACTTTAATTATAAAATAAAAAGCATTTATGATAAAATATACAACTTCATTATAATACAATAATCTCATTACAAAAAAAATAAATGGTGTATATTTTCAGACATTTCTCATTATTAAATCATTACAAATTTTATCCCGTTTTCTATCGCCTGCATTGGTATTTCTTTTTTTAGTTACTATTTCAATATCATTATTAGTTTCTAAAACATCTGATTCCACAATTGAAAATTCATCATTTTGCAATAAACAAATATTGTGCAAAACACAACATGCAATAATAAATTCTGGGATCAAATCTATACGCTCCATGTCTAAAGTTTTAAGTAAGCTTTGAAATCTTCTTTTGAGTAATACAAATGTTCGTTTAATTGTAATTTCAGCAGATGAATGACAAAAATTATAGTTTTTTTGCCTATCTGTTAGATCTTCATTTTCTCGAAAGGGTGTCATTAAATGTTCATGAATTGTGTAAGCTGCATTACCCACTAAATGGCTGTCATTACTAAATTTTTCTGGATCATCTAAGTAGTGACAAACTTCAGATAAGCGAAATACTTTTTGACTAGGGACGGAACCAACATGTCCAGCAAGACAATGAGTAAATCGCAATTCATGATCACAAACAGCCTGTCGATAATAAATATAGAATTAATTATATTTGCTATTAATTATATTTTGCTAACCATTTTTGAAAAAGAAAAGAATTCTGTTAATAATAATGTTAATCATACCTGCAATTGTATACTATGCTGTCTTTTTTTATTAACATAAGAATCAGGATTGATATGTGGTGTTTTAATTTTAATATGTGTGTTATCAACTACTCCTATTATTCCAGGAAAAGCACTGGTTGCAGCAAATCCTCTAATAATTTCTTTTGCTCTATTACCTTTTGGCCATTTCACAAAAAGATGAGCTCGTTGAGCAATTGCTTGGATTACTCTTCTCACAGCCATTAATGCTGTGGCTCTGCCTACATAAAATTTCTCGCAAATAGGTCTAAAAAATCAAAACATAAGTATAGAAAATACTGAATATACATGCAAGAATAAATTAATGTTATAAAAATTAAACTTAAAATAAAATTAATGTTATAAAAATATTACGAACCGATATGGATCTGAAGTAGCCATTTTCCATAGAGCAATTAAAAATTGCTTTTTAGGTGATATTCTTTTACGCCCACATGTTGACCTTATTAATGATGGTCTTATAATATTCAAAATATAATCAAATGTTGATCGTTTCATCCTAAAAAGAAAAAGATCAATTCTTTATGTTACAAACATGAAAAATCTATTTTCTATATAAATATACAAAATAAGTCAACAAAAATTATAAGATTATCTTGAATATCTGAAAAAAAAAAATATTATTTGAAACAAAAAAACATTGTTCATATCCTTTTAAAACTTAAACAATCTTTATTTGAAATATTTTATAAATAATGCTTTCCTTTAGAGATATATTTTCGAAGTGATAATTATCAATTCATATTGTATAATATATAAATTTTTGTTATACTAAAAATAAAGTTAAAACTTGAAAATATTTACATAAAAATATACATACCCAAATTGTGACTTAAATTGTTTATCATTATAACACGATAGAACATTTTCTGCATCATCTTGCAATCGAAGTGTTGATTTTTTAATAGAATATTTAGTCAGAAGCAATATACAGTATCTTTCAATATCTTTAATATAAAGATTATAATCATTTTCATTATCATAAAATAATTCTAATAAAAGTAATGCTTTGGCAAATAGGGAAGAAATTAGTTCCTCTTTATTCTCCATTTCAATCATGCATAACCGGTTAAATAGTGGATTCGCACTATGATCACAGTATTTACAGTAGCGCAACTCTCCTGATTTTATGTTGGCCAAAATGGAGTGTGCATATGCGAAATAACTAATCCTAGTATTCGTATGCCCGTATTCATAGTCAGACCTTATATTTAAGACTTCTTTAAATTTATCTTTAGATGCTCAGTAGCCAATGAAATAATTCGTACAGTATCTGAAGATAAATTTAAGGAAGCTTAAATATAAGGTCTGACTATGAATATGGTCAACGCAATACTACAAATGCTTTAAAACAATTTTTGGTCAATTTCAAAATTCTTTTTTCTAATTGGTCAACCAAATTTATGATTTATAAATATATACAAATATCATTGTAGTATGTATTCTTTTAGATCATCTAATCAAAATTTAGATCTGAAAGAATATATCAATAGCAATGAGCGCTCACTCAACTGTTCAGTTCGCTGAATGCAGTCAATGGATGCATTCAAAACCACAACCGCTCACTGAGTTCTTTCATATAATTGGTCCATATTTTAGAATCTAGTGGAATGTGCCAATTAGATAAAAGAGTGCAGTTGTCATTCTGAATGCACCCATATAATATTTGCAAGTTGTGTAGATATACCCTAAGAATAAATTATGCTATGATTATGAAACTTATGTAATCTTGGGTCAAATGCAGTCGAATTGTTGCTACAAATGTTTCGAAGCATTCGTAGTAACAACCACACCCTTTGTGTATGATTCTAAGAACAAAAAATTGTGTCAAAATTAATCTTTTTTATAGAAATAAATGATATGTAAAATTACAAAATATGATTTATTTATGTGTATTTATATTTTTAGTTTCATTAAAATTTTCACTTTTAAATAAAATTAATGTAGTTATTGTTGTTCTTACTTTTTTTACCTATAAAAATTAGGATGTAGGGAATTTGGAGGAATTTCCAATCCAATCCAATTTTGAAAGAACCTAGGGTAATTTCAAATTTAATCTAGGGTGAAAATGTAACAATGATTTGGCAACATATACCATCGCATATGGCATGATCGATTATTGATGGATAGATAGTTTAATCTACTTCGTAAGAGTAATAAATATTTATAATGGACATAATAATTGATACGAAAGGTGATTCTGGCCTGATAAATAAGGATCAATTACTAGACAATGATAACGAGGAAATTAAAATCGGTAAGTATACCTACTCATTTTTCATCTTTTTGTGAAGTTAATATTTTACAAAGCATATTATTTGTTTTATTAAGATTATCATTGATTATTAAGAGAAATTAAGTTTACAACTCGCCAATCTTTGTAACGATTATTGCTTGTTTCTTACATTTAAAATATATGTCTCTGTAGTCTATATTGTTTCTTTGTGAAGCAATTGAAAAAAAGAACACTTCATTCTTGAGTTAAGATTTATTATCTCTTATTCATAATCAGGCCTTATATTTAAGGCTTCCTTAAATATAAGGCCTGACTATACTACTTTGTCTTCAGATGCTCTACGAATTATTGGCTGAATATCTAAAGATAAATTTAAAGAAATCTGAATATAAGATCTGACTATGAATACAGTATTATACTAATACAAGCCTAGTTTACATCATGCACTTGATACTACTCGTAACTTTCTATTGAATTAGCTTAATTTTGATATAATGTAGTATATGTAAACATATGTATGACATGAGTATTTAATTAATTATTTTGGTACATATTATACCAATTTAATATATTATTCTTTAAATATTCTTAAATATTGCTAAAATTAAGATAATTAAGATTAATAGAAAGTTACTAGTTAGTACATGTAGAACATGCTTAATGTAAAACAGGTTGTAGTATTATTTGCTGAGTAATTAATTAAGATATGATTAAAAAGTCATTCATTATTCATATCTTCTTTTATTAGATGCCGATTCAACAAGGATATTTGATGCAAAATATTTAGGCATTGAGAAAAAAGAGCAACCAAAGAGAAAAAAATTCTCTTCCAGCAAAGACTTCGATCTTGAAAAGTTTGAAATCGATATGGGTTGGAAATCTAAGAAAGTGACTTTTGATCCAATGGAAGACTTAGCAGATATAAGAAAAGATATCAATCCTGTGGATAAAATTTTAGAGAAGAGTGTTATTAAATCTAATTTTGAACAATTGCATGTTGTACCATCCTACGAGTTAAGCAAACGTCAATTGGAAATACACAAACGACGTGAAAAACGAAAGATGGGAACAGGTACAGAATGGTTTAACATGCATGCACCTGAAATAACACCAGAGATTAGACATGACCTTGAAGTATTAAGAATGAGATCTGCGTTAAACCCGAAACACTTTTACAAAAAGAATGATATGAAAGCATTGCCGACGCACTTCCATGTCGGCAAAGTTATTGATTCTCCAATGGATTTCTATTCTTCACGTCTTACAAAGAAGGAACGCAAGAAGACAATCGTTGATGAACTTATGGCAGATGCAGAGTTTACAAAATACAACAAGCGTAAATATAAGGAAATTATTGAAGAAAAGCAAAAAACACATTATAAAGCACATAAACATGCAAGAAGACTTAAAAGAAAGAAGAAGAATTAATACATTTATTATAAAAAGTATATTTTGTATATTTGAGAAATAAAGAATTACTAAAAGTTATATATTCTCTATATTAATAATGAGGAAAAATAATCGAGAGCATCATTGTAATCGTTGATAGCGTATAAAAATTTAACAATCTTTTAGATTATATTTATTTCATGGAACTGTATTACAATCTTTCTTATTCTTAATATTCTCGATCAAACATTTCAATCTTATTTTAGACTATCTTCAGTGAATTAACGAATTAAATAATTACCAGAGAAAATTCTTAATAAACCATATAGTAATTACATACTTCAACATTGATGTCCTTTTTTGACAATTATGTGAACATAAGAGTTGCAATTCACTTAGTGCTTTAAATGCTACAGAGCATTTGTAGCACTAATAGAACTGATCCATTTGACGCTCCCAGCAACTTTAATTATATTATTAGGTCATCGTTTTTGCTCTCGCTTTGCTCCAAGTGCTTCATCTCGGGAGATGAGTTGACTGGAGCGTTCATGTAGCAATATTATAGTATTCGAAACATAAATAATAGTAATGAACTTTCTATAATAAGCCATAAATCAGTAATTAGTCATAAATCAGAAGTCAGAAGCTAAAAATTTACCAATCAGTCATCAATTTTTAGCTTCTGACTTCTAATTTATGATTAATGGCTTATTGTAGAAGGCCCATAATGGACTAATCATAATATAAAAAAAGCTTTTTACACCATGAATTAAGCCAAGCATAATACATTTATTATAAAATTTGGACCGTAGACATTCGCAAGAACATTTGCAAAAAACAAGTGGATCGTAGCCAAGATCTAATATCAAAATAAAAAATATCGTTCTAACTTGTACTGTCACCAATCACAATCAAGGTTGCGATCTCACATTTTTTAAAACGCTCGACTATGATTGGCCGATTTGCTCTTATGGCCTTATAATTAATTACTAAATAGCGCATGCTCACATCACTCACAACTGTTGAATTGTTCACAACTGCTCACATCGTGGTATAGTGTGGCTGTGACAGGTTCTGGTTCTCTAACCTGAATATAGTCAATTTTAACGATTCATAACTCAGTTTGCAGGACAGAGTAACATTTATTTCCGCCAGATTTTTTTATTTCATACAAAAATACGTGGAATAAGGCTAATTTAATTGATTTTTGTGCGGGAGTAATCCGAACAATTACCGTACATTTTTATTGATTTTTATTATTAAGAATTGTGTTATTCTAAATAAATCCCAATTGCGATTATTGCTAATTTTTATCTCAAAATCAATAAGGCAGTTATGGATATACAAACAGTAAATACTCGAAGAAAAATATTAAACCAAGTAGTTTCCAGTATTTTAGTAGAGTGTGGTTATGATACATGTGAGAAACAAGTATTGGAAACACTCACCGAAATGTTACAGTCATGTAAGGGTCAAATTTAAACTTACAAGTAGTTAACGTAATTCTCTCATAAATTTTTTTAAATTTTTTAAAATCTGTCCCTTTATCTATTATAAATTTATTATATAATATTTACATTATAATATACAATTTACTAGCAACATCTTAAACTCTTAATTCTTCATCTTTTAATGTTAATTTTTATGTTTACAAAAAAGAGTAGCAAAAATAATGATTTTAATAGGATTATATATCAGTCAGATTGTTTTTTTTTCTTTTCATGAGTACAGTTATTATGGAGATTGGCGCTTCAGGAAGAAATTATTGTGAACTTTCTGGGAGAACAGAGCCTCTTATAGCAGATGTGATATTGGCATTAATTAATATGGGCATAAAATTAGATAATATAGAGACTTATGCAAAACGACAAAGTAGGACAGTTCTGCCGACACTTCAGCAGCAGACGCAAGCAAAACAATTAAATATCTTGCAAGCTGGTGTTAAGCAAGGCCATCCATCGCATATACCAAATTATTTACCATCTTTTCCTGATCCACATGCATATATTAGAACTCCGGTAAATATTTATTAATTATAATTATGTACTACATGTATATACATACATATGAATGCACACACTTTATGTATATGAAAAAATATTGCATATTGTATATAAAATTAATAATGGAAATATATTGTAGACACATAAGCAACCAGTAACTGAATATGAAGCAATCAGAGAAAAGGTAGCAACGCAAAAACGAGATATCGAGAGAGCTTTAACAAGGTTTATTGCCAAAACAGGAGAAACACATAGTTTATTTCTCACAGAAGATAATAGCATGTTTCCTTGTAAGAGAATTATCATTTATATTGAATCATTCAATGATCCGAAGAAAAAATCTTATATCTATTTCGCTTTTAGTAATATCCTGTAAACCACAATTTCCAAGTTATATTTCCGCTCTTTTACCTCAAGACCAAATATTCGAACCAGATCCAGATTTTCAATTTGATTCAAGTCCTGTGAAAAAGAAGAAAGAGCAACAAAACGAAGATAGACTTACCGAGGAAGGTAAACCTTTTGTACAACAAAACATTTAAATGATATAATTTTCATTTAAGAATTTAAACTAACTCTTTGTCTGCAGGTAACCAAACACAAAATGAAAATATGGAGCAAAATGGTGAAACTATTACTCAGCAAGATGTTATAGATAATCCGTATTTAAGACCTGGAAAAATTCCTAAAAATAAAATGTCAAGTACAACGATACCGGGACAGCATTCTGTCAAAAAAGAGCTACTTGAATGTTAAGTATCATGATATTAATTACTATATAAAATAAGATTTGAAAAGTTCACGATGATAGTATTTTTATGAATTGTAACTGGAAACTCGAATTCTTCTTATGTATAGATTTATATTTTATATTTTTTGATCCGTTTTTATACCTGAATCATTAAGTTAGACGATAAAAATTATATTTTTATTCTGTACTTACATGAAAGTATTTCGAAATACATTCATCACTGAAAATATATATTACAACATTCCATGTCGATTTTTAGAATTGATCCACGTCATGTATGCGCGCATATTATGTATTCATACACGTATATTAGGAAATATAACATATATTAAGAAATAATTATCGTCGTATTAAAACTCTTCATATAGCAATAAGCATGTAGCACATATTAACATCATTTGAAAAATAGTTTAGAAACAAAAAAAGAATATGATTTAAATTATTATAGAATTTATAAATAAATTTTCTTATTATACAAGATAATCCACTTAAAACTGAAAACTTTAAATGTTTCATTTATTTTTGATGATACGAAAAAATTTCTCAAATAAAAGTGAAATAGTTTCGAGAGACGTATCACATATCACGCCGCATCTTAGCCAGATACTACCGTGTCTCCAGGTGTATTTTATAATTAATTTATATAGCTAAATATATACATGGTTATTCAATAAATCTATAGCAATTATGATTATATTTATTTTATAAAAACATTTATCTGATCATACAAAAAAGTTAAGAATGTTACTTTTATAAATACATGTTACTTTTATAAATATGTTTAATTTTATCGAAAAAATGTTCATTAAACTTATTTTTGGACAGTACATATTTTAATACAATTAAAAAAAGAAATTAACAAAGAAGTGTAAATGTATGTTTTACAATTTTATACAGAGTATTTTTCAATTCGAGCATTAAAAATATCTATTGACTTTAATGGTACAATAATTAAAAGGAAAAATTGTAATTAAAGTATCTTCTAAATAATTTAAATTATCGATTTTTTTTGTAACTCTACCTGAATATGCAAAGTTAAAGGAATTACATGAAAAATTATGTACAATTCCATTTTTTTTAATGGTGAGAATCTTGATATTAAAAAATGTGACCTCAAAAAAAAAATGTTTATTATATTTGCTTTTTAAAAAAAAAAACTTTCCTTTTATGTTTTGTAATATCATTAATATATTGTGACGATATCGCCATTACTTCGGCCGAAAATTCGTAAATACATAATTTTCGTTCTCGGAATCGCGAGAACGCAAATATCGAGATCTGTTCAGGCTGAACAGATCTGCTGTTTGACGCAGAAAAAAAAAGACAATACAAAGATGGTTAAATCAGCGAGCGAAAATAACAAATAAAGAGCATAACAACGAATAATAGTTCTAAATGGCATTTTAATTAATATATATATATACCATGGTAATTCGATATCGCGATATAAAATATAATATAGCACATGCCATAATTCGATGTTTAGAAATATAACCGCTGTATCTTGGACAGGCAAGAAAATAAAGTCGAAATATTGCATTGTATATAAAATTTATAAATTGAAGCTTTCTCGAACATTCGACAAGTAAATAGGTTTCTCCGAGATTGAAGTCAGGAAGCAATTGCGAGAGAAGAGTGAAACGCTTCTCTGGTTCTCTTTAATTGTACAGTCTATCGCGTTCGAAATAAAGACTGTAATTTTTTACCAAGTTGAGTCGATCATTGGCCACACCATAGTTCCAATCTCATAATAAACACCAAAATATAATATCAGAGATATTTTAAATGCTCAAGTTAAAAGAAATATTCTGTATACTTATTATACATACTTAGAGGAAAGCCCCTTATTATGAGATAGGCGCCTAATATGAAATAGTGGCGTTTCTGCTAAACTAATAAACGCTATTTCTTGGTTTCATTGTGAATTTATTGCTCTTGGATTGAAAACTATTTAATGGAAAATTCAAATTATTAGATCCAGCAAATTATTAGTGCCAAATTATTAGTGCCTGCAGTCGTTGTAAAAAAGATTTTAGAATTTGGATATCAAGTTTCATTGAGATGAGCGATGTATTGAGATGAGAGATGATTAAATCTCGTTTATTATTTGATAAGTAAATATTTGGCAATAAATTCTTCATGTAGTGATGAAGCAAGATCGTACTAATAGAAAAGTATGGAATATGTTGAATTGCTTAATTACAGAAGTTAGATTTGATCATAAAATCTTAAGGTGTGAAAATCGTAATATGAGATACCCAGGATATTTCTAATATAAATAATAAGAAATAATCTATGCCTCTATGTTATGAAAATCATTGCTAAAGTATGAATATTATTATATAATAATAAAAAGAATAACCGGAATGAACATCGAGTGCGTGTTTTTGCGATATCCAACTATCTAAAGACAAGTCTTGGATACAATGCGTCGCATACTCATACTGGCTGTGGTTGTTTGTATTTTAGAAACATTAAATAAAGTTTTTTAATTGCAATACTGATGACTTTGCGTTTTATTATCGATTTCTCATATTAGGAACACAATCTTTTGACTTTGTGATTTGCTCACTTTTTACATTTTCTTTAAAAAAAAAAAAAAAAAAAAATAATTTGAATTACATTTCATATAACATTATCTTAAAAATTATTAATCTTAAAACTTATTATTAAATTTCCTTCAAAACGATCTATTATTTTTCTAAATTCCATCTATAGATTTCTAGCATTTACCCAAAATGAATTCGGTATCTCATAATAAGGGCATTTCTTACATGTATAAAATTACTTTTAAATAGAAGTATTAGAGATATTAGTCTTTTTAAATAAAATATGCTAAACATTTTTCATCTAATTACCTAGGAGATCAAAGATTAATTTTTAATTTATATATTTTTGCGTTTATATTTATGATAATAAAATTGAAAACTGTTAAGTTGTTCAATTGTATGTCATAAAAATATATTGAACATTATAAAAATTATAAATAATAAAAAGTGAACATTGATTACAATTGCTTATTTATTTATAAAGGCCTGTGCGTTTTAGAATTTGCGTATGTTGTGGCTATATATATTCCCAAACAACACGAGTGTTTATCGACTTATAGTCGACTTAAAGACGGCTGTTCCCAGTTGATGTAGAGTAAGTCGACTGTTAATCGACTTTTTTTGAGACATTCGTCAACTATTAGTCGACAGTCGGTCAACTTATAGTCGACTTTCAGTCGACTTTGTGATGTTTGGATTATTTCTTTTTAAAACATTTTCATTAAAAAAATCTGATTTTATATATATTGAACGAGCAAAAATAAACTAACAGAACAAATAAATTAATTTCAAAATCTGTTAAACATAATACATAGCACATAATTAGTACTTACAACATAGAGATAACACACATATACATATATGTATATATGAATATGTCGTGTGTGTAAACATTAAGCAAAATCTTGCATGCTCTCTTCTTGAAAGATTTTATTTTTCTTGTATCATTTAATATTGATACCATGGCTGACGACGTACCCAGCGCAATTTCATACCGGAAGCTGTACGAATTTTTATGCTAGCACATTCCGCTGCACGTACTGTCTCTTTCACGCTTTGCATGAGATTCTGAGCATTTCCGACAAGCATGTCTGTTGCTTCCTGATCTTCTTCTGTACCTGTGTGTGTTAACATCATAAAAGCAATTATTAGATTGAATTGAAAAAATAACTTTCTTGTTATTTAAAATATATCCATGTATACATATATTTTTCTCATATAAATCTTTAAAATTGTTGTTATTACTGTTACATGATTATAAAATTATATTTGTAATATAATTTGTAATATAAAACTCTAAACACAATGCGAAGTAACAGCGACAGCGATAGAAATAGAGGAATCCAACATTCGGGAATGCATATGTATGTACATACATCATAATCTTGAAAAATATATCACAGTCTATATGCGATCAGATTGCTTTTTTATTTCTTTCGCGGCAGTGTACAATGGGAAGCAACAATTATATATCGCTTATTTCTTCTATTCTTATCTTTACTATTTTTATCCTTGTTGCTGCTGCATTGTATCTAGGATTTAAGAATAATATTTTATCTAACGTATTAAATGACAATCATATCAAATGGAATGGATAAAAGGATAAATATGCACAATATAAATATATAATGTCATTCTAAACTATATAACAACCGATAAATATTTTTTATAAAGTGTAAAGGAATTTTCTTCACAAATGTAAAATCTTTTGTGAAGTGTATGCGTGTGTGCGCGCGCGCGTGCATGCGTGCGTGCTTTACATGCAGGATATGTATAATAATCTCCCATATCCGATTTTTTTCCCATAAGAACAATTTCCTCTTAAAACATATTATATATCTTTTTATAACTAGTTTTGTTAATTACTGAAAAAAAATCGCGATTTTTGATGATGAATTACTTCTGAATATTTCTCGTTTTATATGCAGAATAATTAAAGGGACTTATTATGTAAAAAAAGTCATATTCAATCAAATTCCATTTTAAAAGTGAAGGACTTTCATATCTTTTTGACATCTCCACTTAGTACAAAGAACAAAGTGGCCAAAAATACGTTCCCCTCAAAATCGTTTCACTTATGTATGAAACGATTTTCTGTATCTATATTTTCGAGTTATTGGCTTATCACATTTTATGTGAACCACTTTGTTTATTAAGATGTTCGATAAAAATCGTAACTGTATGCTCAAGGATAAATTTCTGAAATCATTTTAAGGCAAAAATCCTAATACCACAATATCGAGTCTATAATAATTTTTGAATTAGAATTTTTGAAGTATAAGTATTTAAAATTGTTGAATCATCGCCTAAAGTTCGCGCATTTAGATATGATATGATACAATGAATGTCAACTATATCTATCTTGGAAGTCTGTAACTTTTAATGAAAGTGTATTGTTATGTTGTTGCGCAGCTTTTTTTACTATATAATATTTGCACAACGATAATAAATAATGCCAATACTGTCATTGAGACTTACAGAATTCCAATGTTAAACACGTAAATTTTAGACGATAAGGTTCGCTAACTTTCAATGCTTTTAATTCAAAAATTGTTATAGTCTCGACATTTTGATATCGTTTTAAAATAATTTTAGAAATCTATCGTCAAGCATTAATACGATCTTTACCCTATATATATCTGACATGGATAATAGTGTATTTCACTTTCTTGTATTCCT